TGAGTCCAAACAAACCAAAAACAACCATTTTCCTTTCTTGTCTTAATAGCTCTGGCTAAGACTTGCATCACCGTACTGATGGTTTTTGTTAGATATTAAGTGCTATCAAGTTGGTTTGAGCCATAGAGATCCTGTGTAAGGTTTCTGAGAAGCTACTGACTGGTATTTTGTGGTGCAAACCAACCTTGCAGTTGAGTGCTTACCTTACAGCACCATACCAGGACCCCCAAAGAGTGAGTCTGTTTTACATGGAAATTTACTTGATTTCTTTGCCTTTTAAGAAGTTAGTATCTATATTATTCCCTTTTTTGTTCTGTAATTGTCTTCATTATGAATTGGTATCTCTGGTTCTGGTAGTCTTGTGGTGGGATTGTTTCATTTTAAATACTTTTATATTTGGATTGGAGTCCTGCTGTGGCACTGTAGGATAAATATTGGACTTTGAACCACAAAATTGGCAGTTCAGCCCCACCAGCTGCTTCTTGGAATCCCTATACAGGGTCACTAAGTCGAAATAGACTTGATGGACACTTAACAAAACAACAAATATCTGTATTGAGTTCTGAGTGGTGTTGTCATGTATGTTAGTCTTATGTACTTATCTGCTGTTGTTGATGCTCAGTACAAAAGAATATCCTTTAGTATTTTTTGTAGTAGTTGGGCTGATTATTATAAACTCCTATAATTTTTATTTGCAAACGCCCTTATTTTGCCTTCATGTATTTGAGGGAGAGCTATGTTGGGCATATGCTTCTTGGTTGACACTATTTTTCTTTCAGAAATTTGTTTCTATATTGTTCCATTGTCTTCTTGCCTGCATGATTTCTGCTGAGAAATCAGAATTTAGTCCTACAGGTTCTCCTTTGTAGGTAAGGTAACTTTTTGGTTTCCTGAGCTGTTCTCCAGAATCTTTCCTTGTTTTTGATTGTTTCAAGTTTTATTATGATATGCCTCAGTGATTTTCTTTTGGGGTCTTTCCTGTTTAGGGTTCGTTCAGCTTATTGAATAAGTATCTTCTCATCTTTCATGTTAGAGAAGTTCGTTTCAGCTTTTCCAACAGGTTTTTACAATTTCCTTTGTGAATTTTATTGTCTCTTCCTGTTCTGAAATTCCAATCACATGAAAGCCAAAACATTTCTTGTTTTTAATAGCTTCTTCTTCTTAAGTATTTTATCACCTATTATTTGATGAAGTCAGTTAGTTTTCCACATTTTAATGACTTGTGGATTTGTGTCCCTTTGGAAATATTCCTGTTCCAGAATGTTAAAACTGGCAATTTATTTCTCCTTCTAGCTGTTCTGTATGTTAAAGTAGCTAAGGAGAATGATGTTTCTTGTAACACTGAGTATTTGTTGAGTTGTCACCTAGTATAATGAATGGACTTATGGTGACCTTGTGTAAGGTTTCCAAGGAGTAGCCAGTGGGTTTAAACCATGGACCTTGAGGCTATCTACCATTCATTCCAGTGCTGATCCTATAGCGCCACACCAGGACTCCAGACAAGACACTAGGTGTAAAAGAATGCTGTCCTTCCTAACGATGGTATCTATCATCTGAGTGTGGGAGGCACACCATCATCCACCTACTCTGTATGGGAGATCTTGTTAAAGCAAACTCCAGCAGACTGTACTTAGAATTTGGTTGTATTGAAGCACAATGGTTTTCACATATTGTGTGAAGTAAAATGGTCTGTAGTTGAGGATTGTAGATTTGTGTTGAGCGCCTGCTATTTGCCAGACAGTGACTTTATACTGAAGTGTAGGGTATACTACAGTCTTAGTCCTCTTATGTGTGGGTTTTTTTTTTTTTTCAGTCATTCATTGTAAATAATTAAACTTTAGACTGGGGTCTAACTAAATGTCAAAATAATTGTGCTTTCCATGGCATCTTATTTGGCATGTTCTATCTGAATTAATCCTGTAGTTACGTTCTCCTATTTCCAAGTACTTGGCCCATCTTTGTAGAAGAGGAATGTCGCCTGATTAGAGTCGGTGTTATCAGACCGTAAGAAACACAACGACCAGCCTTATTTACCAGACCCATTCTTAAAAGCATTAGTAACACCAGCATCATTAGTTTTAAAGATGCTGTGTGAAGGATATGTTTACAAAGGCAGTAGGCTCTGAGAGACAAGACCATGAAGATGTTAAAATGGTAATGCAAAATGAAATTTAAAAATAAATTTGCAGTTAAGTAGCAAGAATTTAGTGACAAACTTCAAGTAAAAGCACATTATTTAGATAAATAAGAAAGTTTTATGTTTATCTGTGCATACTTTTTTTTTTTTAGTTTTTATTGTGAATTATGTGATAGTTTACATGGGAGAACATTAGCTTTACATTCATCCTATCATATATCATTTCATTGCTGTGATTACAATCCCCTCCATGCATCATTAAACAACCAAAGCGTATACCTCACAAGTCTGCCCCTCGGTCGTCAGCAAACAGCCCTCTCCCACTCCCTCTCTGGGTCTAGAGTCCCCAGCCGCTCCATCTCTCCACGTCTCTGCCTCCATCTCTGATGTCACTGCTGTCTGGGTAAGGTCCCGCACTCCGCTGTTCTCCCTCCCTTGATGGCACCAGGAACCTCTGCTCCTGGACTGCAAAGTCAACCACTTCCCTCCTTGCTACAAAATGTCTACCTTTACATTTCCAACCCTCACAGTCAGTCCTGATAGCAATTATTCACTGTTGTACCGCAAGAGTCCTATCCCCAGCTCCTTTCATCAGCCCTGCCCAGACAGATTGAAAACCACTCAGTGGAGAGTCTACCTTGCCCCATGCCCTCTGGATCTAGGTTCCCTCTTGAAAGCTTGTAAGCCAGTCATTTCTTGCCTTTGTAGCCACCCCCCATTTTGGGTAGCCAGTATCCAAGTTGCCCATCCCTGTCTACTCTGTGTATTGAAGGGGTGGGAATGATCCTCACTGTAAAGATTTGTTCCCTATTTTGAGCTACTACATCCAAAAGTATAGGTCAAGTTAATCAATTGTAGCTGATTATCTCTCTCTCCCCCCCCTTCTAGCCACATTCTGATTATGCAGCCATTGAAGCCAGGTCAAGTGGGTATTATCTGTAAATATGGGTGTTCTTGTGTATATCCCCTCACTTTGTATCAGCTGGATGCTTCACTCTCCACTCTAGTCCTCTGTGGCTATGTCACTGACTCTGGACCCAGGAGTCCCTAAGTCTGGCCACACTGCTGGCCAACCAGGTCTCCACCCAGGTTCACTGGAGTCTATTTAACGTGGTCGGACTTAGCTTACAACTTCATTGCTGTTTTTCCCTCACTTCCCCTTATTGGTGACCAACGTGGTTACCAGTCATACTGCATGCCCGCTCGTGTATTCGCCTTGAGTTTTAGTCTTGGAAGGGGGTTTTATGTTAATTTATCAAAAATTCTGATAGGTACTATTCACAGTAGCAAAAAGATGAAGACAGCCTAAATGCCCTTCAAGGAGTAGTTCAACATACCTTGAAGAATAACCAGGCATCTGGGAAATAGCTCACAGCTATATGTCAATCACAGAAGAACAAATATTATGAGAGACCAATGTTGTAAAAAAAGATTTTCTTGATAAAATAAACATTCTAGTATGGTTAGCCGGAATGGGATGGAAGGAAAGATGATTAATGGGCTAGAGTGTTAACATGGTTAACAACATATAACAAGAGGAAGGTTGGCTCTGTGAAACCTCCCAGGTCCGAGGGAAGACAAGATGGGTCCTGTGTTAGAGAAGGAGGTGGTGTGTGGGTGGTGACTAAAGTGTTTAGTGTCTCCCTCTAGGAGAAATGCATGAAAAATCTTATCATCTATAAAAGAAGGAACTGTTTTCTTTTTCTGTCTCATATCCACAATATCTGTCACATAGTTGATGTAATAAGCTAGCTATAATAAAAGTTAAGGTTACTTATATTGAGTTGATAGTTTTGTGTTTTGTTTTCTACTCCAAGATAGTCAATTCCAGCCTGTTTTTCTTAGTTTGTAAATAAAGAGAGGCATTTTTTTTTTTTTTAACTTGAAATATAAACAGAAAATGTAATTGGTAAATTTAGAGCTTATTGTGTTGGTTTGTCTGGAGCCATTTACAAGTAATCAAATGGTGTGTACCACGGCAGGTGTTAGGCACTTGCTTTTTGGTAGGCTTCTATTTCTCAGATGTTTCCTGGGTGATGTAGCATATTAATACATTCTACTGGTAATGAAAGGTTGTTGGTTCTAAAAGGGTTGGCAGCTTACCTGAGACGCGCCAGTCACTGAGCACCCTACAGAGCATACGTCTGATACACAGAGTTAGGGTCTCCATGAGTAGGAGTTGACCCACTGACAGCTGGTTTACCTTCTGTGGGGTCCCTATCTTACAGATGTGGGAAGGAGGTTAAATTATGTACCCAAGGCCACCTGGCTGAGCCAGGCTGAGGCCGGATTGATACCAAAGCATTTGCATTTTCTATTGTGCCACTTGGATCTCACCATGAGTGGTTGTCTATGCAGTCACATGCCTGCCGTAGTCTGCAATGCACACCTACCAGTCCAAAAGCCCTTTCTCCTCTTCTGAAATCACTGCCACCGCCTCAACCCTAGGCCTCTGGCCATCCAGATTGTATGGTTGAAACGAGGACAGGGTTAGGGAAACTCAGAAAAGATAGATGAAAGGCTCTCCCCATTTTCTCCGGTTATGTGCCGTGGAGGCTTTTCTGACTCTTAGCGACCCTGTGCAGGGTTTCCGAGGCTGTAAATCTTTACGGAAGCAGAAAGCCTCATCTTCTGTGGAGCAGCTGTTAGTTTTGAACTGTTGACCTGGCGGTTCGGAGCCCGATTTGTAACCAATATGTTACCAGAGCTCCTTAAAGGACTCAAAAAACTCTTTTTGTTTTTTTGAACTTGGTGCAGGTTCTGGCCAATGTTAAATGTATGTAAAAGTGAAAGTTAAACCTTGAGGAAATGTGTCTGCTCTTATTGAGCGCTAATTCTGGTTTTGCCCTTTGCTTCTCGTCAGGTGCTGTTACCCCCGTATGATGATGCCACTGTGAATGGTGCTGCCAAGGAGCCGCCGCCACCCTACGTGTCCGCCTAGGCCTGCAGGGGTGGGGGCAGCAGTGTCGAGAGCAGCAGCGGCTTAACTTCCCACGACTGACCATTAGCTCCTTCCCTTCTGAGACCACTTGTGGCTTAAATGCTTACCAGTTGTAAAATACAGATGTTAAGGTGGTCCCCTCTGTAGATTTAAGCCTATGCTGTCGCTAGATCACTGTGAATAGATTCGCTGTAGAATTCTTTACATAAGGAGTTGGGGGGTAATGGGCTTCAATGATCTTTGCTGGGAATTGAAACTTGTTAAAACAATGGATGGACCTGGGTTCAGATGTCTGGTTTTGTACCTAGTGGGCACCAAAGGTGGGGAATTAGTCACACTTTTTCCTCCTGTACCACATGCTCCCTACAAAAGTTTAAAATAAAGTCAAAATTTGGCAATGTTTTTCTGAAACTGTTCCACTGTATATAGAACAAATGGTTATGAAAATAGGAATGTTCAATATGTAATTATTATACTAAATAGGTAAATAGGCATCTTTATCTATATTGCAAGAATTTCCTTAAGATGCTGTATAATTTAAATTCACTGACAAGTTGAATTTGTCAGTCAAGGATTTTCTCCTTGGACTAAATGAAGACAATTAGATGACACCTGGCAGTGACTATTGGGAGCTGCTTCTGTCCTGCCCAAGTCTAGGGGCAAGGTCATCTGGTGGTCACTGCATGAGAGCTGGTGATTGTTTCTCATGGCTTTTTGTCCCCTCCCAGGTCCCCCTGTTTCTAGTGCCTGTTTCACGGAAGGACATCCAGCTCTGCAACTCACTTTACCAAGCAGAACTGCTGATAGTGTTTGCATTTAAATATGGTGGTGGGGGTGTTCTCCTTTCCCTGAAGGTACATCCAACTACTACAACTTTAGGCTTTCAAGTATGCCTGGTCATCTTTCAGAATGAAATACAGTCTTCAGAAAACTAAAGGTTGCATTCCTTGTTGAATGTTCTTTATCTTGACCACTTGAATGCCAAGCGATTTTTATACATTCATATTATCAAAAGTCAGCAACTCTATTTGTTCATTTTGAATGTGTTGCAAATGAAGGCTTTATTCAATTGAAGTGAGATTTGCCCACATCTGAGAAAATAAACTTTTAACTCTGGTGCTTATGCCTGGGGACCCTTCCCGCCGATGTGGCTGTGGAGATACAAACAGTTCATCCCAAGGAGGCTTACTGGCTTGTTGCTCATATGTACTTTTTCATATTTCAAGCTGATCAAATCTCAGAGCATGTTAGGCGGAGAGATAGCAGACCTGCCTATCCTCCGCCTTTGCTGAGCTCCATGTGTCAGTATTGTGCATTTGATTGCTTTATGCCATGAGTGCACTCTAACTGAGCAATTAAGATGCTAATACTTCCCAAAGGAGATTCAAAGAAAAGAAAGATGAGAGGTTTTTATTCCAGAGGGTCTGCCTCAGTTACTACTTTTGGAGTATCTCATTAGTATTCTTTATTAAGTTCAAGGTAACACCTTTTGTCCCTGGAAGCTTTATGCCCTTAAGATTCATACAAAGTTAAACACATTAGGGGCTATTAGGGATGGGAAGGAGTCCCCAGGTCGCATACTAGCCTAAACGGTAGCGGTCTCAATCCACCCAGGAGCACCTCAGAAGACAGGCCAGGTAATCTCCTAGTGGGGCACTGTGCTACCCTGGACGCAGGATGAGGTGGCAGCCACCAGCAGGAACGGAAGGGCTTGTTGCCGATCCCCACAGAAGGAGTGAGAAATCTGTTATTCACATGTGGCTCCCTATATATATATATTTTTTTTTTTTTTCCCAGCTTTTGTACAGTATGAAAAATATTGGCTCAGAGAGGAACCAAGACCATTGATTTGATTCAAGCAATATTCAGATACCACCCTTACCAGTATGATGCTTATTGTACTGGTGTTTTTGACCCAGGCCAAGCTTTAGAGCTGCCTCCATATCCACTCTTCCAAAGTAAGGGGCTGTCTTCTGGACACCACTGTGGTGTGTGTGTGCATTCAGACGGCATGGCCCAGCATATCCCTTTTTTTGTGTATTACTGTCGTTACGTGCCGCGTTGCTTTTCCTAAATTACATCCCATTTTAATATCGCGTCCTTTTTTTTTGTTGTTGTTATCCATACGTTATCTCAGTTTTTCTCCTGTCTATGCACTTGGGCACTTCACTGATAAAGAGCTCTTCTGTTTTTGTAACCTTGACACCCACCCCCCACCTCACCCCACCAAAGCCCTTGTGTAATGTACCAAGTAGCGTCCCATTTGTTATTAATTCTGTTGAGTCCATTCCAACTCATTGTGATCCTGTATAGGGTTTCCGAGGAGCAGCTGGTGAGCTTGAACCGCCAACCTTGCAGTTTTCAAATGGCTTTGCAGTGCAGCGCATTAACCCACAGGGCCACACCAGGACTCCAGCAGGCCATTTAGGGGAGTTTTAAGTAGGGAGAAGGGTACCCTCTAAAACCACTGCTTTTGAACATACTGGCCTGGTTTCCAGAATGCCCAGTCACACAGCAAGTAGTGTAAAGGCCTCTCTCTTTCCGGCTGATGCTGCTTACCCAAACAGTACCTGATGCCCAGGCCTCTTATCCCCAAGAATGCCAGAACTTGTGTAACCATTCTCACCCTCCTTTTCTGAGTTGATTCTCCAGAATTAATATAAATTCACTTCCCCCTAAGTTTGAACTCCTAACTGCAAGGTCAATGCTCCATGGAAGAAAGATAGGCAGTCTGCTCTTCGAGAATTTCTGCTATCCTTTAGGATTGCTATAAATTGTAACCAACTCCACTGTACTTAACAGCATATTTTTTGGTGTTGCTATGTATCAATTTCATCTCATTTAGATCTTAAAAGAATCATCTAGTTAAGCTAATCTATATGACTTTAGAGGCTATGTTCTGGTTTTAAAGATTATCTCTGGAAAATGGGATCAGAGGGTCATCCAGTCTCCATGGATCCAGGAAGTCTAGACTAGAGTCCATAAGAATGTGAAATTCTGTTCTGCATCTCCCCCACTGTGATCTGTAGAATCTGATCAACATGTTGAGTAATGGGAGCCGGGCGCCATCTAGTTCTCCTGGTCTCATGGCAAAGGGGGCATGGAGGCAATTAGTCACAAGTTCCATATCCTCCTATTCCTGACTTTCCTTCCTCTGTTGCTGGGTGAACGTTGTTGTTAAGTGCGGTTGAGTCGGTTCCAACCCATAGCAACCCTGTAGAGGGTTTACAAGGTGCAGCTGGTGAGCATGAACCACCAGCTGTGCAGTTCAAATGACTTTGCAATCTGGTGCATTAACCCACAGCCCACACCAGAGAACAGTTATTCCTTGGATGGCCACGCCTTCCCCTCATACTGCCTGTTCTAGCCTTAGACATTAGTTTGCTTAACCAAACGACACCTCATTTCATTTCTTATCTTTCCCTCTCTATCCTGTTTCTTACTAATCCTTAGTTGTTGTGAAGTACCATTGAGTTGGTTCTGACTCAGCGACCCTGCATCAGGTTTCTGAGGAGCAGCTGGTGAGCTTCTTAGCAATGATGGTTTTAAATACACAGAACTTGCTATCGAGTCGGTTCCAACTCCCAGCCATCCCATGTGTGTCAGAGTAGAACTGCATGCCACCGAGCTTTCAATGGCTGATGGTTCTGGCAGTAAACCATCAGGCCCTTCTTCCATTACACACACAATCAAGGATGCATCACAGGGTGTGGGAGCTTATGGCTGTCATCCCAGGGGACTCCAACCTCAGTTGGCCTAACAGACTCCACAAAGACACTGTACTTTGGTAAGTATTGATTGACGGTTCCGAGTCATAGTGACCCTGTATAGAGTTTATGTGGAGTGACTGGTGAGTTTGAACTGCCGATTTTGTGGTTCAAGCCACATTTGCTTCCCAGAGCATTAACCCACAGCCCTATACCAGGACTCCTTAACGATTCACGTTAAGTGCCATCGAGTCAATTCTGACTCACAGTGACCCTGTATAGGGTTTCCAAGGAGCAGCTGGTGAGCTGAACCACCAACGTTGTGGTTTAAACCAACTTTGCGGTCCAGTGCGTTAACACACAGCACCACACCAGGACTTGAATGAGAAAGTCCTAAGTAGTGTAGGAGTAAATTGTGGAACAAAACACAAAATTAAAAAACAAGACTTAACTGGTCAGGTAAGAGACTGGTGGGAAGCAAGACTATGGCCCTTAGTAACCCTGCAGATCTGTAAATGGGCTTTCCCACAGCTCAGTTTTCAGCCAAACAGATGGCTCTATCTGGAAAACAACAGTAGTGAGGTCTGCACACCTTAGATCCAAAGGGCAGCAAGGTTCAGAAGGGTTAGGATAGGAGGAATGGAAACAGGAAGTGGCATAAGTGATGTTACATGAGGGGATTGCTGTCATTGACAAAGTATCATTTGTTGCATGGAAAACTGATCTCTGTAAACCTTCACCCAATTCACAATTTAAAAAAACAAAAGCTTACAGCATCTGCAACCATTAAAACTTATGTTTGTAGAGGGATGTATTGTATTTGAAATACTCATAATTGGAGGAGAAAAATCCTGCTGTGCAAACTGAGCTTATGTGACAGAGAAAAACAAATGAGACTGCAGAAACATTTACTTTTATTTTTAAAGAAAAGATGAATTCAGTTTTGCAGACAGTATGGAAGTGGACTTAAAAGTCTGATAGTGTTGTTACTAGTCATGGGGGAAGCGACTTGTGTTCTGGAGACAAGAGGATAGGTTTCTTTGTCAAGATGTTGAACCAGCAACTTCTACAAAAGAACAGTCAACATAGAGTGCAGTCTAAGCCATTCCCGACATCCCTACCTTCAGACCTAACAAGCACCAAAAATACTATTTGTGGCTGTGTAAAATGTTTTTTGGTTTTTGTTTTTCTTGGCAGCTCATATACTTAATATAAAAGGGAAGGAAAAAGGCATTGCAAGGATGTCTCCACGCCCATGAAATTCTGCAAACTGACCAAATTGTCTACTAAATG